TAAAACTGAAATAAAATAAAATCCATCCTGCTGGTGACAAACATTTTGCTGATCCACGTGAGTCTTAATATTAATATTATAGCCCATCCGGACAAATAAAAGATGCCACTCTTTTGCTTCATTCTCCTTTTTATCACTGGGTTTCTGGAGAGACCCCATTCAGTCTGCAGCCTATACATTTATATTTCAAGGATTAGACGGGCACCGCACTGGCTCCAGTGTTTTCTGCGGGGTGAAACTCTAAACCAATCCATTAGTAAATGAGTTCACTGCGACACTGGTCCTCGGTGGTGCAGTTGTTGGTTTGAGCCATATAGATCACATTTCTTTATCTACACCAGAGTCTGAAACTTAAACCCCCCTTTCAATATGTTATATGGGGCGGGATTGAATTATAATATATACAAAATTTAACCAAAAACAATTTCACAGAAAACGTTTTTGTTTTTGAAGACCTTAGATCTCGCTAAGGCATATTTTTGTGATAAAGATTTAATGCTTTGAACTCGTTTTAGTGCTGTCAAACTCAGTAAAATGCACTTCTAAAGACTCTGGAGCAAGGCTGTAAATCACGCTGTAAGATTTTACGGGCAAACGTGTGAAAAACAAAACGTCTCAATATTCGGGAATATGGGCGAATGTCCAGGCTATTAAATAATAAAAACAGAAAATGAATTCAAAACTGCGGGTTAAACATCCACGTGATCGCTTCAGTGCTATGCTGCTATTTGAACTCGCTGAAAGGACAGGCCCTTGAAATGCAGCATCTCATTTTCGAGGTCATAAAGACGAGAATTTAATTTGTGTAGTATATTAAATGGAAACACTGCAGAAAAACAAATAATTTATGAAATTTGAAACGAATTGTTTAGCGTGTGTTCATTAATTTGAAGCACTTTCCTCTTGGATGGACCGCTGTCTCACCAAGCTCAAATTATAGCTACTGGGGAAAAAAAAGTATATATTATTGTTTAAAAAACAGAAAACATTCAAATGTCCACTTTTCTCACACATGCGCAGTTAAAAGCCCAAAACCTCAATTTGATTCAAATGTAACTAATGCTGTGGGATTTATAATGTGGAACAAGAGTAAAAGCGGACACCCTATGCAAAAAACAAACAAAAAAACCCTCTGAGGTAGGTGGACACGGGACTAGGCTGGGGTGTAAGCAGCACTCGGGCTGTGTAAAACCCTCAGTGCTTCAGTAAATGAGCTGTCTGATGAGCGGCTCTCGGGTTTCTCTAATATTTCTACCACATTGCGCCGCGCCTCCTCCTTTAACCCGAGCAGCCCGGGGGGCGAGATTATTTCAAGATGTGGACTCTCCCCCTCTGCCACGGCCAGTGCTGGTCTGCTCATACCCCGACAAGGAGTTAATGCAGTACTCGGATAGGCTATCAGTCGTTAGGCCTATTCGTTCCAGGGAGCAGGGATTCCTCATTCTGTACTTTTTTTCTTTTTGTCCCCACGCTGTCTCATTCGTCCTTTATTAACTTATAAACCCCGACTCCCTTCCTGTGTGCTGCTGAAATCCAGCACCGATTTCACAGAAAAAAATTAAATAAACTTTTTTCCCCTCTCCCCCCTTCTCTCATTAATCTGGGGTTTATGCGTAAAGGAGGCAATTGATCTGAGCTCTCTGAATTATGCTCTTCCAACTCCTTATTTGGACTAATTAGCCTTTTGACAGCAGCATACACCAGAGCATTTTGTGCAATATTGATTTTAAAAAAATAGGTGAAATGTCGCACTTTTACTCAATTTCAGTGCGCGACAACTCAAAACAGTGAAAACACTTCATAAAAATGTCATCGTCAAAAAGACAAAAGAGAGGGGTGGTGGGGGGTAAGTTTCCTATTGTAGGGTTAATTTTTTCCCCTCAAATATAGAGGAAAATTGAAACGAGCACTGGCTCACTTAACAGATGGTTTTCAGTCTGTCTAAATCCAAAGTGCTATTTCAGCTGTATGGACTGGAACAAAGCCGATGCTGTTTAAATTGAGTGAAAAATGTCAGATTTAGTCTCCATGGTGTTTGAGCATTGTGGGGTTTTTTCCCCTTAAAGGAAAATGTCACTCCAACAACATGTATTTAACATGAATCATTTATTTATTTAAAGGGAAAAAAATCCCAAATTAACAACGCATAGGTGGATTCCGGTTATGAGTGACGCCTGGTATTCCTTAGTTTCATATGGCAGCTCACATATGACTGACTCCACATTGGGCAACAGATTAATAAATATAAGTAAATATAAGTAAACCCTTTCGTTGCCTCGGAGATTTGCCCATTCAAGATGCTCTAAATGTCTCTTCGATTAGGAGTAAAAGAGGTTTATCCGGTTATGTGGATGGCAGTTTAAAAAAAAGGCAGCTCCTTCTCTCAAAACAAAACACAACTGTTGACATGAGTGAGTTAAATGAAATTGGAGCTGCAATTATCAGCTTAACAGAGTTTCCTGTCATGTTGGAAAATTAGACCTGGTACAAGTGTACTGGGGTTAGACCCCCTCCACCACTGCCACCATCACCACTCACCCACCCGCCCCTCCTCATCAAAATCATTACGCATTTCCTCAGAGGACCACCTCCACAAATATGCAATTACGGCCTTGGCTTTTACTGCGCTCTGCTCGGTAAACACGCTCCGGGCATGTGGAGGAGCACATGCCCATGTTTTAGAGAAACTCTTTTCTTTGATGGATAAACAAACGAGGTCGGCAGACCAATCCATAAACAAACAAACAAAACAAAAAATTTAAAAAGGGAACAATTTCAACGTGATGTGCCGGGGAGCCATGTGTGCCTTCTGGCAGGGAGGGGGCGCCATGACAATACTTCGCATCCGAGTCCAAATGTAAAACCCTGAGAGGATGGAGGATGAGCTGGTATTTGGGTATTAGGAGTCGCGCAGTTGTGTGGCAGGTGTGCGGGTGCGCCTTATGGTCTGCATTGGTCACTTCAGTCCTCATGTGCGCAGCTCCTGTTACAAAGTGGTGTTTTTTTCTCTTTGGGAAATACCTTTGACCACTGTGGTGTGCACTTGATGCTGCCTCCCAGCTGCTGCCCCTGAGTGTGTGTGCGTGTGTGTGTGTGTGCGTGTGTGTGTGTGTGTGTGTGTGTTTGAGAGAGAGAGAGAGAGAGAGAGAGAGAGAGAGAGAGAATGTGAGTGCATCACACAAACACTCAGACTCACACATGCACACTTAAAGCTGTCCTCATGAGTTATGTTTTCTGTCCTTGTGCTCCAGAACAAAGCAGTGAATCATGCTGTTTGCATCCCCCCACCCCATCTCTTGCCACACTGGGTGATGCAGCAGACATGTGTGCATACCTCACACTCTGCCAAACAACAACTTAGGAGGTAAAAGAAAACTCTACAAGGTCATTATTTCCCCTCCATAGTTCAAACACTGCCACATACTTTCCACAGCCCGGCTGGAGCCAGCAGACTGTTTGTGCCAGGACCGGGGCTCAGCCTGTATGGTGGGTCTGTACAGGGCAGGCTGGTACCCGCTGACCCCTGCCCTCTCATTAGTGGGACGTGGAGCAGCGGAGTACCGTGCTCCCCAGGTCATGTTACATATGGCTTGCAGTCTGCTGCGCCGCATTAAATGTCAGCTTTGAAACCATCTGAAAGATCAGAGGTCAGTGTTTTTAATAAGGCCAGAGTTCTGGGGGAGTTCCCTCCTTTTTAACTGCTCGCCTGAGTATGTTTCACGTTGCGTGTTTGAAATTGTGGACAAAATGATCCACTGCACTGTTTGGTTTGGCGTTGGGGATGTCCTGGGGTTTTTTTTCTTTGTTTTTGCCCATAAAAAAGCATTTTATTTATGAAATCTTTAAACATTCTGCTGTAGAAATCCAAACACGCCGTCTTTGTGGCAGCGCTTATTTTCCTTTTCTGCTGAATTCATAGGCACAATACACAAAGGTGGAATTTGGAGTTTTCTGTTCCCCCTCTCCACCCTCCTCTCCCCTCCCCGTGAGATCCACAGACTATGGGATCCTGCTGGAAATGGGATATTGTTCTGGGCTCCAACAAAGCTGTTTTCACCCTCTTCAATATTACAGGAGGAGCTACCTGATACCTAACAATCAGCTAATCCACTGCCCATGGCAACGAGGTCACCTGTGCACAGGTAACTTTATCCAGGTTGCCTGCTTCTCTCTCCCTTTCCCGATAGTCCCTGCCATTTTTCTTCTCCCCCTCTCTGTGACTCAACAGTGAGCACAGACAAACAGCCTCTGTTTATTTAGGTCATCAGCTAGATCATATATAACTCCCGTAGCCAGGATTCCCCGAGCAAGGACGACTCCTATAATCCAGCACAGACACACACTGCAGAAAATAAAAATCCCCTGCTGTTCATTCATTTGTCAAACTTTGTCTCCATCTTATCTCTCCACTGCTGGTTTGGTCAGGTGCCCATTGCGCGAACAAGTATTGGCTTGTGATTCATGAATTCACAGCGAATCCCCTCAAGCCTTGAGAAGAGCCTCGGCTCTTTTCTGGATCAACTCTGTGTCTGTGAGTGACAGCACCTCAGATTCATTCTTCCATATGTTGAAGTTAGGGAGTGGGGGACTTGGCCTTCACTCAGGGAAAAGACCATTGGATTGGACTGAGCTGTGGGGAGCTGCAGACCCCCCACCCAAAAGGAGCTTTACCTCTGGAAATCTCATTGCTGTTTATTTGAATTACAGAGACTGAGATGAGAAAAGGAGACCTAATGAACTCCAGGTTGCCAGGCATGTGCAAACGATCACTGCAGGTTTGCAGAGAGCTGCACCAGGCTCGCTGGATTAAAGTGTGCCAGTTCACCCCTCCCCAACCCCGTATCCTCACAATCTGGCTGCACAGGACTCCAAAACACTGAGATGAGATGTTCTTTTTGTCCATCATAAACTTCCATTTATCTCAGACATGCTGTGACGAAAGAGAATTAAATAACGCTATTAGTCATCTTCTAGAAAGAATTAAAAATGCCTGTTTTCCGTTTTTATAAATATAAACTTTTATTGCAGTATGGAGATTTAGAAAAATACATTCACATAATTTCAGATAACAAACATATAATTCAAACTAAGATTAAAAAACAAAAAGCAACAAAGACACAAAAAAGACTATCTTTTGCCCACAACTCGTTTTTGGTTTATGACATTAAAGCACTGAGGATACTTTCACTGAAATGCCCACTCAAATGAGAGGATCATGTCACAGATCCTCAAGAAAAGTGTTACGAGGCCACTAGCATGTAGATCCACTGATAAATATGCATGGTGCAAGTTGGCCATGAGGTTGAAATGTCCCGCTTACGGTCACGTATGAAAGCGAGAACTCCTGCTGTGAAAAGCAAATGGGCTCTGCACTCCTGTGTCTTTCCCTCAGTTGATACCCGACTAATGTCCCGGCGACGGTGACAGTGGGAAATCTCTGAAGCTGCGTGGCAGCGCACGAGCCACAACAGAGCTTCATTTTATGTTAGTCACAAGACAAAGATTAAAAAAGTACAAGGCACAAGTGTCCCAAACACGATGATGCCACGCAAAGAGAAATGACCACAATCTCTCTCTGTTTTTAAAGTGGGACGATTTAAAAAACAAAAACACAATTTGTCCACTTAGTCACGTCCATAACTTCTGTCCCTTTGTTCCTTATACTTTTCGAAAGCATACGTGATGTTTGCACCTGGTTTTTACAGAAAAAATATAATTCGTGATCACTGACATCATGGAGACGGGTCATAATGGAAGATGATACAGCACGGTGTCACCACATCAAGTTGACATACTATTAGCTGCAGCATTAGAAAAAACATGTGACGTCCAGCGTGCGAGCTGACCTTTTTGATCATCGTTCATATGCTGGTCTCACAGGTTGATGATGAGGCTTGAAATAGGAGCCATTGCCGAGAGGGTTGTGCGTTTGTTGAGGTGTGTCACACATGACAAAACCCTCAACACAAAGGCTGTTTGAAACACATCCGTTGTATTGTCACTATGGTAGTGCAAATGCCCAAACAGGCCAATGCCATTGTGTATGTTAAGTAGCAGAAAGGCACATTTTGTCTTAAATGTTGTCCCATTTTTGAACCCTCCCAGCTCATTTGGTATGAGTTAAAGCACAAAAAGCTGCACTTTTTAGTACTGATTTGTGAGGCTTTTGTAGACAATCTAAAGTGCTTACTGAAGGACACTCCCCCACCCCCAAATCAGCAGCTTTGTGTGTTTAGTGACCTATTCTCTTTATAAACGCGTGTGCAGTCCTTCAGTAAAGCTGTTGCTGTTTAACTGACCATTATCATAGAGGCTCACTTGCTGTTCCCCCTACAGCATGACCTTTTTGGTTTGACCCAGATGACGCATTTAGTTTGGAGGAACATCCTTGTCACATGACTCGAGGCTTTCCAGCACCTGCTTCTGCAGATCAAATCCACTCAACAGGAAGTAGCAGGTGCAGTCTATAAAAATGCACATTTAGACACGGCTTAAACGCTTACAGCAACGTCTTCTGTTAGCACATCACCATCGTAATGTTTCGTCTTAGGAAGCTGGGCTTTTAAAACATGTCACAGGCTTTTTTTATTATTATTATTTCGTGATAAACTGATAAAGCTCACCTACTAGGCTCCTCTCTGACTTGAGTGCATTGTAAAAGTCAAATGAATGCAAATAATTTAACATTGAAAAGGAAATGAATGTTTTTAAAAAAAAAACAAAAACAAAAAAACAACCCACACACACGCACACAAAAAGGAGTAAAAAGATTCATCATATCACTGCTTGGGCGGACTTGAGTGCTTCTGCAAAAGGGAGAGGTTTGAGGTTAAAGGTCAGCCATGTCCTCATCCATCTGCACTGTCTGTAGTTTGGCCAGCTCCTTTCCCTCCGTAGCCTCCATCTCCCCACACATTGCCCGCACCATTTCGTTCATGCTTCCTGAACCCGAGCCATCCACCTTGCTCTCTGAAAGGTTCATGTAGTTGTTGTTCATGCCGGGGCCCATCAGGTGTGAGGACGGTGCCCCTCGGACCTCGTGGCCCCCAAGGTACTCTGTGGGCTGGAGGTGGTGGTTGCTCGGTTCTGTTTGAGCCATCAGGGGTGTACTGACAGTGAGGGTGGTGTAGACCTCTGAGTCCGGGCTGGATGAGCTGACGGCAGTGACCTCGGCGGTTGAGGCGGGACCTCGGCTGGAGGAAATCTCTTCTGAACCGGAGTAGTTGATTTGACCACTGGGGTCCAAGTGGAGCCCGTGATGGTACGAGGAATAAACACCTCCCTCCAGAGGCTCCTTCTTGATGGATGGCTGGCCGCTATTGCTCATGCTGTAGAGAACCGTACTGTGGTGCAAAGATGCCATGGTCAGTTTGTCCTGCTGCTCGAATGAGTCGCCACTGGAGGAACTCACTGCTACATTATTCAGAGCCATGGTACCTGTGGTGATACAACAATAGATCAATACATATATCTTTCTCCAGTTTGGCTGCAGTAGATCCCCTTCCCGCTGCCTGATCCCCTCTTCGGCTCTTGCAGTATTATGCGTTCCATTTACAGCAGGCCTTGGCCGCAAAATTGCTGTTGTGTGTCTTACACACTTTGAGGACGTTAAGATCGACCCTGCAGTTGCACCAGAGAACAAATGAATAACGCTGCCAGAACTCAAGAGAAAGCTGCAATTTTCTGTTTTTTTTCTTCTTCTTCTAATTATTCATCCTGGTTTACATTCTCTGCTTCATGTCAAAGTAAGTGCTGTAATGGCTTATTCCCTGTTAGTGCATTTCATGGCCTCTGATTGTCTGCAACATATTTCCCCTCCCCTGCTCTGGAGATCAAGAGCGTAATGATGATGAGTGATGGTGACTTCAGAACTTGTTTTTATCCATCTCTGGGGTTTTAAAAGGACCACCTCTTCTATATATACGTGTGTGTGTGTGTGTGTGTGTGTGTGTGTGTGTGTGTGTGTGTGTGTGTGTGTGTCCCTTCTATATTTCTTCTGGTCTGTGTTATGTGCACCATCAGCCCCTAGGGCTATGGCCCAAACACAGACAAGCCAATAAAGCAGGTCAGATATATTGGGTGGGTGTAGTAGAGACCTGTTGACAAACCACTGGGGACATTTAAGGAGGGGAAAGAGCAACAATCACGTATTATAATGCAAGGTGGTATAAGGCTGTGATTTCTGTGCTATAGATTTAATTCAGATCTTCATTCTGATACAACATTGGATTCTGTTTTTGTACTTTTGTTGACTTTAAAAGTATATAAAGACAGTTTGATTCATATATAACTGTCTGTTATTAAAATCAACAGCAGATGGCTCTAATTTTTATCTAAAAATCTTTTATCTCCCTTATGAGACATTGTTGCTTCCTTAGTGAGAATAGTTAAAGTACAATTATTCTTAGCATAGTTATATTTGTATCCATGTCCATTCTGACTCAGTCTCTTCCATGAACATTTCAGCTACACATGACCACGTAACCTCTAAAGGTAAAAAAGAAGATCAAAGTATTAAAATTGAATCATCTTAGACAGCAAATCACTTCATGAACCCACCTTGTTGTGTAATTGTTGAAGAAGAGGAGGCAGAAGAAAGCTGCAGGGGAGGAAGACCTACGTCGCTGTTGAGTAATGAGCTGCCATCGCTGTCAGAGACTCCACTTGGTACCTGGACCAGGCTGTAGCCACCCAGCTGCAGAGCGCCTGATGGGGAGCTGAATGTCAGAACAGAGGAGCCGCCATTCTGGGCAGCCATGGTGTGAACCCCTTCCAGCTTCACCTCTGACCCATTCACACAGCCAGCGTAAGATGCATATGGCAGGGTGGACTCCTCAGCATTCCCTAGTCCTTTGTCCTGTCCTGTCTGCATCTGCATGTCCACTCCAGAGCCCCCCAGCAGCACCCCTCCAGAGGGTCTCAGAGGATTAAATGCCAGGGGCTGGATGCCCAAATTGAGCCCGTTGAAGAGGATGTTTCCAGGTGAGTGGAGGTAAGATGATCCACCATTGTGAAATACAGTAGAGGGCGTGTTACTGGTCACTAGACTTCCATTGTAGAGACCGCCACTGCTGGATCCAGGAGGCATCTTGATGTCCCCGATCTGTTGGATGACCACCCCACTGTCCAGAGGTCCCGTCTGAATAGGAAGGTTCCCGTGGGTTATCACCCCATCTGAAGAATTGGAGAGAGGACGAGGAGACAGCTCCTCTTGGCCTTTACTGGACTCATCCTCTGTGCTGTGGTTTCCATCTGATTCACTGTAGAAAAACAAAAGAGGAGGGAGAAAGATGGCAAATGGTGTGTAACAAAACAGAGGAAAATAAAAAGGGAAAATTTGTGTACCATTTGTATATGTTTCTGGGAAGGAAGAACACTATAAACACCGACACAATTAGACCATAAACTCGTATAATGGAATTCATTTCATTTCCACCCACATTTTGCTTTTAAGCCAGAGCACACAGACTCACATTTATTGCTGGGTTATTACAAAGCTTTGAAGGCAGGCTGTGTCTGTGTAGCCCTCTTACCTCATGGAGAGCTGCATGGACAACAACCAGGCAGCGTCAACAACCGTGCAACCATTTGGCGCAATAAATTCTGGAGTGACAAAATGCCAGCTCTGACAGGACAAATGGCTTCAAGTATTTATTTATTTGTTTTGCCTCTGATTTGGGACGTTCCAATGAAAATTCTTATTTTTAATTTTCCAAGAATAACAAAGTGAAAGAATAGGAGCAGCTATATTAGCAGCCTCATTTTGTTTACTAGCCCCCTTTTAAAAGACTGATTAAAACAGCTGCACCACTTCACACCCCCACTCCCCCCTAAGGGACACACACACACAAACACACACGCATCTAAACCCACCACTTCCAGGAAAATATAAAAGGGTGTCACAAGTTTAAAAAAAAAAAAAACAGGGGAAAAAAGAGAACGAAATCAAAGGTTTATAAAGATTTAAAAACTTTGAAATTATTATTTTTTTACTGGCGATTTTAAGACAGCTTACAATGGTGTGTATATGCCTCTGTGTGTGCGCGCGTTCGTGCGCGTGTGTGGTTAGAGAGACAGAGGGGTCACCTCCACCAGGTGTGCGTCATCTTTGTTCACTCAGAGGGAAACATGAAAGAATAGCGTGCACATGTCAGTCTGTTTGTCTGCGGGATTATGAAATGAAGCGCAGGAGTTGATGGAAGCTCTGAGATCCTTTCTTGATCCAAAAGGAAGAAGGGGAGGGCAAAAAAAAGAAGTCATGATCATGAAAATGATTTATGTGCTACTGAGTACACGCGCACCACCAAGTGTGTGCGTGCGCGCGCTCAAACACACGCACACACACCACGAATAGATAAGAAGATTTTAACCTTTCAAGTCATCTTTTGAACCGTCTCATTAAAGTTGCCCACTCCCCGCGTCTGATAGTTTAATCGCTGAAGTGTGTATTTTGTTGCTTATGGTTTCCATGCCTCTTAGCACCAACGCACTTGAAACTTGATCTGAATGGCAACAGCTTCATATTTCAAAACATTAAAAGCGTGCTCCTAACCCCTTTTACAAATAAATTTTTGTGTTTCTGAACTATGAATAGTTAATGATTTAAATTGTTCGTTCTTATTTGTGAGGCCGGCAAGACGATTATGAAATACACTCGGTATTGTCAGTAGTCGAACTTGGTCCAACTGCATAATATAGCCGCTTTTCCATTAAAAAAACAACAACTTTTAAATACTTGGTAAAGTTAATCGGCGTTCATTTTAATTAAAGGGCCTTTTACGCACATAATCTTCAGAAGTAAAATTTATTGCCGTTTGATGAGCGATCTGTGACGGGAAAAGGTCTGTGGCGTGCTCCTTTTGTTGCCTCACCTTTTTGATTGTGCTTCCGACGGGTTTCTGTCTCTCTGTCTCCTGTTTTTGAACCAGTTGCTGACCTGGGTCAAGGAGAGTCCGGTTATCTTGGCGAGATTTCTTTTCTCCGCTGGAGACGGGTACCTATTTTGATTATACAGATCCTTCAGTGCGTTCCGCGACCTCTCCTTGAAACAATAAACAGTCTCCTCGCCGTCCCAGATAGTCCTGGGGAGAGGATACTTTCTCCGGATTCGGTACTTGTCCACTGCGCCCAGGGGTCTACCCCGCGCCTTCTCCGCCTCGGTGTACCGCGCTTTGTACCACAGATCTTGCAGAAAGGTGTGGTTGGACGGACTAAAACTGTGGTTCTCCAAAATACTGTACAGCTCCTGATACCGAGCCTGATGGAAAGCTACGAGGGCTTGAGCTTTCAGGATGCTTTCGTTGCCCCGTAGCAGGTCACTCTGTGGCAGGGACCACAGGAACCTGGCCAGCCGGTCCACATTGCCTCCCTGCTGCAGTGCCTCGCAGACACACGCCACTTGCTCCGGGGAGAAAGCAAGAGAGGAAGCGGCATTCACCAACAGCTCAGTGCGCACCGCGTCAGTGCTGGGAGTCGTGCGCTCCATGGGCAACTCCGCCGCGTCCAGCGCCACAAGCTTGATGCACTCCCGCGTATCCACCTCCTTCACATTTTCCCTCTTGATGTCATTTGCTGTTGTGACTTCTCCGGCAGAAGAAGAAGACATTTTTTTTTTTTGGTTCAAGCCTTCCCTGGTAAAGTCACTCCTCCCCGCTCGATCAGGTTACCTCCTCGCCATGCGAATGCGATCGGATATCTGACAGCAGCTGTAAGTAGATATCTCTCTCCCCTTTTCCTTCCAACGTGACTTTTACTCTGCGGGGACTGGAGCTGGAGGGAGACACGGTGGGGTCTATCTACAGGAGCGCCTCGCTATTGGCCGTCGAGGGCCCGTAAGGGAGGAGCGAGCATGGATTCAGACGCGAATGTTTGCTTTCCAGCTGTCAGTCATATAACTTCCAGTAGATTAACGTAGCTCACCTGTGCAAGGTGAGTGCTTTTGTGATCGTGGGAACGGGATATCTTTGTTGTCTGTATTGTCAGGAGATCATTTGTCTGTAGGTATGCACATAAAAGAATGTTTTATTTCCATCTCGATGTATGGAAATCCAAACGGAAGTAATGCTGGGAATACTGTCACTCACTTTATTTAGCCAGTTTACATTTATTTTGACAATTTTAAAGTAACAAATGTTAACAAAAAATAGATATCAGATTTACTCACACTTTAAATTTGTTTTTATTGTTATTTCAGGAATGAAGGTAATAAAGTTTCAGCACAGATCCTGCTTTAAGTGGCTATTGCGAGGTTGTAGCCTACCCCTCCCACCAAAGACTGGATCAGAATACTATACGCGACCAAACTAATGTCAGAAAAAAAACAGCACACCCCTATGAAAGATATCATATGAGGACTAGACCTCAAATTTCTCTCAAGAGTAGCTCATTCCCAAATCAGGTGATCTGTCTAGCATCACGTAACAGGTGTCCAACACCACATCATTACTGATATTTGAACTTTAAATTATGTTTTCATTGAATCTTTTATAGTAAAAGAGTCTCAGATCGTCTTAACAATTACTAGCATCCACATATAGTCAATAAACTATTATAGCTCAAGCACTGGGAGGAATGAAAACTAAAAATATTTAAATATCAAACTAATTCCTACGAAGTTCACGTTTTCTCGCAATGATTTCATAAAACTAACTTAATGTAACTTACGAGTTGTTTTCCCAAATTCACAATCATCCAGAAACGATATGATGTCAGAAACCCAGGGAAACAATGTCTGGGTTGATTTTTGTTTTTAATTATGTTTCTGCTCAGACTTACAAGATCATATGCAAGTTTTTTTTGTTTTGTTATATTTACTCGATTACTACCATTACTACTACTACTACTACTAGCTAAAGTTATTTATTTACTTAATTTATTTTACCTCGCTTCCACTGGGACTCCCTAGCAACCCTTGCATGTATGTGCGCCAGCAGCTATTTGCACCTCACCTCTAAAAGCAATCATTAAATAGGAACACATCTTATTAATGCCGTTTCCTGTCGGACCTCATTTTGTGTAACGCAGTGGTTCGCAGCTTGGAATCTGACAGGAGAGCTGCAGGTTATTGACGTGTTTTGTTTTGTTTCTGAAGTGCTTTTTATTATTGCCATTATTTTTTTAGTGTGGTGCAGACAGAAATGGACGAACAGGGCTGTCCGAGATGTAAAACAACCAAATACAGAAACCCGTCGCTGAAGCTGATGGTGAACGTCTGCGGCCACACGCTGTGAGTATTCACACCTGACAGCTACAAGGAAAGAGCACAAATCCTCCACAACATCGCGGCGTTTCTGCTCCAGGCTGCTCGAAACGACACGCAAACACAAAGCACCCCCCAAAAGCAGCTATAATATAGCGTTTAAAACTGTTTCCGCACATACATCTCTAGTCTTAATTGGGGGACTTGGACGTAAACAAAACTGATAAGCCTCGAATGCTGACGGTTTGTTGGGCTAGCTCATATTTATAGTCTTGGTGTTAAATAGCTGTGTCATTGTAGACAGAAAGTGTGCTTTAGAGGTGGGTTATGTTTCCTGATAGAGCTACACAATTGCAAAGCTAGGCTAATACTGCTGGTAAACACAGTATAGCGGCCATTGTTTACATATGACCTACACTGGCTGTAAGCAGCTCAGCTTAGAGACCTCTGTAGAAAAGCAGACCCTGCAGTTGTGTCTTTGTGTGTGTGTGTGTAAAGTACAGCAAGTTTAGGATGGCAGGGGGAAAAGTGACTAATGATGAGGAGCATAAACACCCTGTGCTGAGTTTTGAACCACATAATGAATATGAATTATTCAGAGGTTTTTGAAAAGGGCCAGCTCAAAGGTGCAAATCAAATTCGAGTTTGACTGCGCAAGTTTTTCCATGTTAATCTGCCAACCTAACTAAAAGCTACATTTTTATTTGAATGGCTGCACCTCTGCCACAGGTCTGGCTTAATTTGGAATTTGTCATTTTTGCATTAAACGGAAAATATAATGCAAAACCTAAAGTAATGTATTTTATTATTATAAGAGGCAATGATGAGATGGTTTGGAGGGAGGATATGTTGGTTAAAGGATATTGAAGATGGAGCTACCTTGCTGGAGGAAAAGAGAGAAGCCACAGTGATGGAGGAAATGCAGAGGGTTGGTTTGACAGAGGATGAAAGGGACAGAATAGAGTGAGATGGAGGTAGATGATTCACTGTGGCTACCCCTAAAGGGATCATATGAAAGAAGTAGAAGATTATGATTATTATTTGCATAACATACAGAAATGGATGAAAAGTTAGCATGTTTCCATTTGTTCGTATTCTGCTACTTCTGTGCAGCAGCATCATGTAGATACTTTTTCGAACTTCACTGTGCATTTTTCAGCATTTAACCTTGTCCGCCCTTTAAAAACATGGACGTTTAAATGAAGGGGACATGTTCTCCATGAGCATTATGCAGCGACGGTGGTAGCTTGATGAGCACATCTTTTTCGACCCTGTCTGTTTATTGACCGTGCCATCAGGAAGTGGTCGTGCTTTGTCATCAGGTCAGCGGGCTCATAACTCACTGCCTCTGTCTGGATGCAGGACTACACACAGAAAATTAAAATGATTCTGCAATGAAGCAATTTGGAAAGATGTCCTAGCCCGGGTCACCTTGGATCTGTTCCTCAGAGCCGGTGCGACAGTGAATTTATGCATCACTTGGAAACTGCTGCACTCCCTAACCATATTAGTATTTTCATCACTGATGCTTTTTGGCTTTTCTTTTCTTCCCCCCCCCCCCCCCCCCCCCCCCTTTTTTTTTTTTGAAGCAAGTCTTACAGTAATGCTACAAGATCTGTAACTCTGTTTCAGAGTTATCCATTTTCTCATTTTTAATCAACAACGCTCTTCAGAAAAACTATATAAGAAAAAGAAAATCTAAGAGGTTAATGCACATGGTTAGTTTTTAGATGGTTATATAGTTTTTGACTCTGTGCACCAACATACATCTTTAATCCAAGGGGCTTAACAAAAGCAAACAAACAAAAGCCTTTGGATAAATGAAACTAAGATGAATGAATATATACCAGAATTATTTAAAGAGAAAAGTATGGAGAAAGAGTGAAACAGCTCCTGATCTAAAGCATATCACATCATCTGTCAAGCATGGTGGAGGCAGTGTTATGGGATGAACACGTATGTCTGCCAGTGGAACCTGGTCACTAGTGTTTGACAACGTGACTGCTGATAGAAGCAGCACAATGAATAATGAAGCATACAGAGCTAAACTCTCTGCTCTCATTCAGCCAAATGCTGTAATACTGATCAAAGAGCTCTTCAAAGTACAAATGGATAATGACCCAAAGCTTATTGCAAAGCCAACCCAAGAGTTTCTCAAGCCATAGAAACTGGATATACTTCAACGGCCAAGTCAGTCACCTGATCTCAAACCAGTAGAGCATGCTTTTCAGTTACTGAAGACAAAACCGAAGGTAGAGACCCACAATTGTCGAACTGTCCTGCGTGTACCCTGCCTTTCACCCTATGGTAGCTGGGATGGGCTCCAGCCTCCCCGAAGCCTTGATAAGGATAAGCAGAAGAGAACAATTTGATTCCCAGCGTCTCCAGTCTGCATGTCCTTGGTATGAGAGAGAGAGTGTATGTGATAGGTAAAATGCTTTAAAGATGTAAAATCTAGTGCCGTGTGTGTGTGGTAGCATAAAGCACTTTAAATGTTCATGAAGTATAGGAGGGATATATATAAACACCGGCCTGTTTACCAGGAGAAAGTAGCACTAGTGAGAGCACAAAGCAGTTCAGTTATTCAGAGCGATAATGCTAATACAACACAACCAATTCTTCGCAAAACAAGTCATTTGAAGATATCACCCAGGCCTCTGTGAAGCCATTTTCTTCAGTGACTGTCCATTAAAGGATTAATTGACTTACTGAGATACATATACTAGATGAATCATAAACAGCTGAGAATACTTGGACTCCATTTAGATAAATGTAAGAATGTCTCTTCTTTGAGTGGCCCGTCCAGTCTGCGCTGACTAGCCTTCAGCAGTTGCATTATTAGCTTCTCCATGCATCTAAATTTAAACTCCACCGCAGCACATTTTGTATCCTTGTCACCAGGGGCATTTGATGTGGGTTATTTATTACCTTTGCACAATGACACTGGGTCTGTGTCCTTTGGCATTTGACACTGGGCACAGGCAGGCAAAAACAGTTGTAGCTGAGGCACACAGTGCTGTTTAGAAAGTGGACACAGTGACGCTAACATTACAATTATAATCGTATGCTGCAGGATGATCTACAGCAGCAATGCAAGAAGTCGTTTTGGGGATCGTTCAGATTTTTATTTTTTTTTAAAAAGCGTCCAGTGTGAAGTTCAGACATGTTCTTGGCTTTTCTTTAAAGTACTATAAATGTGCGGTTGGGGCAAGCTTTTAGTTTAAGCAGTCATAGTGTTGGTCTTTGGCATTTTCTGATTGTGATGCTGCAGGTTTTGCAGATTGTTTAGATTTCACACAATGCCATTACACAAATCCATCTCTACTTGGTCTTGAATCGACCCTTGGTCTAAGATGGAAACAAAAATATAGAGATCACTGTAACAAGCAAACAAGCTCCGTCTCATGCTGTCTCCTGCTTTTCTGTTTTTGCACTTTAATTCAAAAGTGACACAGCAAAGACGCAGGCAATGTCACTGAGAGATGGTGGGGGTAGTGGTGGTAGAGGAGTCTCTTTGCTGAGCCAGGGCCCTGTTTACCTTCCCCTTACCACCCCCTTTCCCTGACCTGCTGACAGCTGCAGATGGGAGAGATAGGAGCCTGGAGCTCCGAGCAGGACAGGTGAGAGAGGGAGGAGTCAGGAGTGCTCAGTCAGCGACAACAGCCTTGAGACTCAGAGATGGCAAGTAGCTAAAGATCTGTTCATGCAAATGTTTGCAATTGAGCGTAGAATTGGCTAAAAAAAAAAAAAAAAATCTTGATCCTCCTTTGATCGCAAAATGAAAGAAGCTCACAATCTCAAAGCTGGCAAATTGATTCTAAGAGTCTCCTCCCTCCCTTTTAGACGGTCATCTCTTTGCTCTAGAGTTACACAGGATTTCCCCTTTGGAGAGTTCTGTTGTGTGGTCCATTTATGGGGCGGGGGGCTAAGCTACACCCCACTCCTTGCCCCATTTTGATGAATGGGCTCTTTGTGGGCCTGTGGAAACAAGCTGAATCCTTCAATCTACCTCCATATGGCCAGGCCTATAGATCTCCTGTAGCCTGAGGCCACAGCGAACATCTGCCTCTTCCAGGCTGCACTTCAGACTCCGAAGCACCAACTGGATGGCGCAGATGTTTGTCTGCCGTTCAGCTTTCATTTTTACATTGCTGCTTCTTGTAAGCCAAGCTGAACTGCTTGTAAGACAGTCCTCCGTGGTGCTTCGTCAGTTTGTTGTATAGCTGCTTTGAAAGCTTTGGTGTCACAACTCTGCAGGTTGGGCTTGTTTGACCCTTATGTGTGACGCTAGGTATAAACAGCCAAACTCCACGGCTCTGCAGTTTCTCCTTTAACTGCTTTTTTTTCTGCTTTAAATCCTGCTGATGAAGTGAAATGTCTTGCAGGATGGCTCAGTCATGATTGTTCTAATAAGCTCCATCCCTGGAGAACTTTTGACTCGACACCAGTGCCTCATGCCCAGTGTTTGACTTTTGGGAAGAAATGACTCAACCATACCATCAGTGACGTGTGGTGAAAAGTCGGGTTTTTTTCCCCCCCCCTTTAGCTTTGTTATACTTTATTATGAAAACTGTAAATGCTCAAAAGCAGATAGTGCTATTTGGAAACCAGATGTCTTTTTTGAGGTGGTCACAAGCAGGAAGGTGGATTCCTGTTGAAATAAAGCTCCACAGAGACCTAATTAAAAGAGTGTACTGTGCAAACGTTTATCCAGGCTCTCCACCCCATCAGGGGAGATAAAGGAACATTCCCATTGTCTTCGGTGTCCACTACTCACTTGAGTGTGACTGATGGGTAAACGCCTACCTGCATAAAGGTGTGATTGATGGCTAAGCACAGAATTGTGCCCTCAGGTAGGTCTGCTGATTGGTTACCATGGCGTTTCCAGTGAGGGTGCACAAAGTTCCTGTTTTGGCCTGTGTTTCTTTTTTTCTTTTTTTTTTAAAACCTGAAATAGTTTCTTCCTTTTGTGTAAAGGCACGCTCTTTACCGAGGAGAGCTCTGATTCATTGTTGCTTATATGGGGAACTAAAGGCCACCTGAAAAACTCATCATGACTTTGCTGTACTGCTACATATTTTTGCCTTGGAAAGACGTAGCCGTTTAACAGATTTATAGCAAATACTTTGATCAGTAACAGCCTAGATTTCCACAGTGTTTAAGATTGTGGTTTATTCCATTGCAGCCTCCTTTCATTTAGGCACCATGTCAGGAACAATAAGAAAGTGGGGGAAGGTTGGAATGACTTTTGGATCCGTTTTTAAAAAGGTATAAAATATTTCAGATTTATTAAAAGCTTTAGTTTAAATGACAGTTCAGCTTAAGTAAGATACTGCTGTTGTTCATCTCTATGCATTTCCCAAATTACATAAGACTCGGTCCTTTCCTGTAATGATAGACTATGCCATGAGTTACCAAGCTGGATTTTATCATATTATGCAACGTGGCTAAATGACTGAGGCCTGTTGAAATAACAATAAAGTAAATGTTTTTCCAGTGCAGACAGACGCTCCGCTGATGGGGTGTCGGGCTAATTTCCTCCTCTCTGAGAGCGGGAGGCAGTCTAATCGACATTCCAATCATAATCCCAGCCATCTTTGAGCACTCAGAGGAAATATTCATGTTCCCCATTATCACCCATTGTGTCTGATGGTTTACAGAGATTTTAAAAAAACCACACAAACACAAATCTGCTTTATTCTGAGGGAAATTGCCACATACGCTCACACAAGCGTGCTTACTACTGACTCTCAGAGGTGCCCAAGGAGGGTCACCTCTGGGGAAAAAATGCAGTTCAGCTTGCTGTTTAATGCCTGTTTTTGTTGCAGATGCGAGAACTGCGTTGAGATGCTGTTCGTTCGCGGCTCGAGCAACTGCGTGCAGTGCGACACGCCTTTGAGGAAGAGCAACTTCCGCGTGCAGCTCTTCGAGGACCCGACAGTAGATAAGGAGGTGGAGATTCGTAAGAAAGTGCTGAAGATGTGAGTGAGGGGGACTGTGAGGGTGAGGGGTGTGGTTCTTGGTGTTTATATGTCATCCCATGCCTCCTCCCACTTCTTAAGCTACCTTTTGTCTTTCTCATTACACTGTTTGTTTTGTAGACAATGCATCTCCCCGGGGGTGCTCAAACGGGAAGGCTCTTTCTCTGCCAGATTTTTACTTCTCAGCCCCTCCCTGCCTCCTCTCTCTTCCCTGTTATCTGTTCTTTAATAGCCCCTAATTGACATCTAATGTGCGCCTATTAGCCAGGATACAGACATGGTATTATAAAATGGTTGATTTAATGGAAGCTATTAATGTCGGTGCATATTTGCTCTCACCAGGTTTTACTTTTTTGCATCACCACTTCTCTTGTTTCTCTGCAGTTACAACAAGAGAGATTTTGACTTCCCCAGCCTGAGAGAATATAACGATTATCTGGAGCAAGTGGAGGACATAGGTAGGAGCTTGGAGCTTCATGCTGAGACTAGTTTAATGATTTCTCCTCTGGCTGCACAAGAGGATGTTTTACAGGCATTAGTGTCAGCCGGGGCCACAGATTAGGAAACAGAACTTGCAATGTTCACACGTCTTCACTGGCAGGTCAGTGTAAACTTGTAGCTTGGATGTATTAGAAGAGCTGCAAAACAGTGTAAAAATCCATCTAAAACAGACAAATAAAACTGATGGAGTATTTCTTAAAATAAATAAATAGATATACCATTTGGGCCAGTGATGCTGTTTCCATCAGTCCAGTCACCTTGTGAGGTTTTTTTCTCAACTTTTATTTTCACATTAGAAAACTGCAGGTTTAAACAGTTTAAATGCTTCTCCCATCCACCGCTGGTTTATTTTACACAGCGAGGGTGGAGCTAAATTGAGCAGAAGCTAAAATGAAAGCTGTCTGTATGCAGATAAACTTCTATATAATTAAATTTGGCAGATTTCTTGTAAATTGTCTCTTTCTAGCAGCAACACCTACAGCATGTATATAAGTGGGTCTTTATTATGTTAATTTGTATTATGAAATATATATGTGTTAATAAATTGTATATATTGTTATAGATTAATCTGGCAACATAAAATAATCAAATTTGCTTGTTTTTTGTGCGATCTGCTGGTTCGACGGCCCAATGAGGGGGGAAAAATGTCATGATGAATAATTTCTCCTCAGCTCGTCTTTACATCGTCCCTGGGTTTAAGATATCACATGCATGTTGATTTCAACATTTCAGTTGAATAAATTTGTCGTTATTTCGAGTACAGTTTTAAATGATTTGGAGGATTTAGATAGTGGGTTTAATTAACGGTATTGTGGACTTGGAGACAGTGGTTCTGTCCACAGTGTGAGTTGTGATGGATTGATATGTTCAACAGTGGCTGTTCTTTTGCACACAGTGTATAACCTGACAAACAACGTTGACGTGGAGAACACCAAGCTGAGGATGGAGCAGTACCAGAGAGAGAACAGAGATGTCATCCAGAGAAATAAGGCCAAGCTTGTAAGTACTTTTGAAGGTTTTCCCCCCTTATAAAAGGATAATACCTAATAATGACACTTGTATTTAAGATAAACACTGGCCTTTTTTATTTTAAAGCCAGCTGCTCTGTTTGTCTAAGAGGGCAAAGTGTAGAATCAAGTGCAACAGGGCGGTGCTACAGCTTGTGTAGAATCTGCCGCGTGGTCAATAAAGCGACAGGTTCTTCCAACTTGCCGACTCTCTCTCCTCCTCAGACACGGGAGCAGGAAGAGCTGGAGGAGCTTCTGTTGCAGGAACAGCAGAGCAATGAGCAGCGGCGACTGGAGGTGCTGCAGGAGGAGCAGAGGCAACTACAGGCCAAGAGGAAGAACAAGCAGGCTCTGCTGGACGAACTGGTGAGATGCACACGTTGCATGGCCGTGTGCATGTGTAATGACAAATCTAGTGATGCAATTAGCGAGTCACATTATGACAGATGTTCCATGTCGGATGTGCATGCGCTCGGCTCTAGGGTTCGTGGATGTGAGATCATTAAGAGCTTATTACCAGTCATTGTGCTGCAGGTTGCATTGTTCTCATTCTGTGATTCCAAAGCCTATCGGCTCCATTGTGTTGAGCTGCAGGCTTTGAAAGTTATTGTTCCGGCAGAGCGGGCTGCTGAAGGACCATCACAGATAGCTGGCTAAGCTGTGTGTTTGTTTGTTTAAGGCACAGGGCCTGTTGACTGTAGGCAGATGAGATCAGCTCTCACCCCCCCCCAGGGGAGCTCTCCTGAGCTCTGACATCTGTACGGCCCTGTGGCCACTAGGCTTGCTATTCTTATGTGGGAACACTCACATACATTACATCAACAAATACATTTAGACTGCATGTTGCCGTTTCCCGGAGTGGCTAACTAATCAATAAAACACATCAGTAGGAAGTTGAAACACACTAGATTATTGTTCTTCTCTAATACAACATGTACTCTACGCTGGATTCACATTTGTTGTCTGCCATTTTATTTCACTCATTTGAGTAAAATGTGTCAGTTCTTATGGTCAGAAGAGGACCCATAGTATGGAAACTGATTTAACTGTTACTGACAATATTGATAAATAGCGCCAAAAGCTCTAGACCAGGGGTGCCCAATCCCGGTCCTCGAGAGCTACCGTCCTGCAGCTTTTAGATGCATCCTTGTTCCCACACACCTGAATCAAATGAATGGCTTGTTATCAGGCCTTTGCCAAACATGATGGCATGCTGAAGAGGTAATCAAACCATTTGATTCAGCTGTGTTGGAGTAGGGATGCATCTAAAAGCTGCAGGATAGTAGCTCTTGAGGACTGGGATTGGGCAGCCCTGCTCTAGACTGTCCCACCTTTATAGTTCACCCCATCAAAAATGTCCTACCTCTACAGTGAACAATGTGTCCAGGCTTGTGTTCTTAGATCTATGCGCTTGGCAATACTCCACTGAAGAAATTGAAACGTCCGACCTTGCATTTAATGGAGGTGAAGACGGCGCAGTGCACTTGAAGCGGCGTCCCCTGACAGCGGCACAGTTTTGCTAATACGACTTACTAAAGTTTTGTGGCAGCTGGCCTGAAAGCAGCCCATGCTCATGGTAATGGTAAATGGTAAATGGCCTGTATTTATATAGCGCTTTACTAGTCCCTAAGGACCCCAAAGCGCTTTACATATCCAGTCATCCACCCATTCACACACACATTCACACAATGGTGACCCAGCAATGGGTGGGATATGTTCAATGAACTACTGCGTTACATTTCACACACTAAGATTAATACTTACAAAGTCTATATACGTTTTTTGTCTCCAGGAGCAGTCTCAGCTTCCTGCCACCCTTTTACTCGCTCAACACAAAGTTCGCGCTGCCCAGCTTGAGACCCAGATAGAGCAGCAGAAACAGGCTGTGAAGCCCACCAGTTTGTTTTCAACTGGAATCCATATGGTAAGTGCAACAGTCATATTGTAGTTTTCTACTTCTCTTTCCATCCTGAATGTGTGTTATTTACACACACAGGAAGTGATATGACTTATATGGTCATCAAGGAGCTGCTAATTCAAAGAAAAGCAGCTTTTGAGGAGGATGGAGCCAAAAGTGCTCGTTTCAGCCTGACAATGAATGGAGGGGTTGTATCATGAGCTAAGTAAGGATAATTTCTGTGCTATAAATCATGGACTGGTTTTCCAGCGAAGTTCAAGAATAAAAATATGGAGCTCTAGATGGAGCACAATAGGTCCCATTTAAATCCTGAGAGTTCGATAATCTGGGAAGGTTTTTTCCCTCGCTTACAATTGTGGTTGTTTAGAACAGCTTTAATTCTTTTTTTTCTTTCCACTGTGGTTGGGCAACACATCACACACACAAAAACGACTGCTTTTCATACAAACCCCTGGACTGAGTTTGCTTGTTAGCATACGTCCAACAGACTAAACTTTGCTGCTCTGAACTTATGTTGCAAAGATCTAAGACAAGCAGCAAAACAGTGAGAGCAAAATGAGCATCAATCAGGTTTTAAGAGGCAGTTAATACACATAGTGACATGCCTCTGCTCAGTGCGATTAAGGTGAATCTGAACTGTTGAGGTCATTAGTGTCAAAACTTTACACGGATTGCTTGTTGACAATAGTGTGTCATACATGGCCACGCTTTGAAAAGGAGGATGTTCCTCCATGTTTGGTGCTTCTTCAGTGTGGGAAGAGGCCCTCACCTCTTCATTCATGTCATCACATTCCTCTGGGTGTGCAGTAGGTCCCACAGAGAGCGAGATAAAGCATGTGGGCTCAGGGTTTCGGCCACTCTGAGCTTGCAGCTTTGTACGCACCGTGTCTGGAGGGACCTTCCATTTGGCTGTAGCTCAGGTTTTCAGTCGTTTATTTTCATTTTACTGCGATGAGATAGGCTGTGTCATCATCCCCACCCCTTTCACAGCAACCCTCATGAGGCATGGTTGTCTTCCCACAGTTCAGTGGTGCGTGGGAGAGATATCTGCTTAGCACTCACCTCAGCTCAAGCTGAAGCAAGGTTTTGACATACTTGGGTAGAACCAAACTCTATTTTTGAAGAAAGGACTATCTCATAAAGCAACACTCAAAGTATTGAACTGAGCTATACGGGGGGATTCAGTACTCTCACTTTCACCTCCTTAATATACAGCGTGAAGTTAAAAGTTGCTGATGGAGAGAGAAACTGCATGATTATGTTGCTCTTGGCTTGTTCTGTGCATGTTTTTCCTTGCTTCTTTCTCCCCATTTCTCCTCATCTTCCCATCCCTGTGCTCTTGTTGGTGGAGTAGAGTTCTTCCCATGCATCTGCTGTTGGACTTGAGAGACTTGAGTCAGGGGAACGTGTGGGTTTGGATTTCCCTTCACCTCAGTCCATAAGAATGACTTCTGTTTGACTTGGTGGGGTTTCAGCACAGAGCGGCAGATTCCTGGAGATTGCTGGAATTCATTTATCTGCTAGGTTCTGGTCCCTCGCTCCAAACAGGGTTTCAGTTTTTCTTCAGCAGAAATTAGGAGAGACAAATATAAAAACACACTTTTTTTTAAAGCTGGGCCACATTTCTATGATTTTGCTTTGAAGCACGACTAATATGTGCCAATCTCTTTACTGTGATATCATGTACTGTTATAATGATTAGTCATTTTTGTAATTTTCAAGCATAAATGGCTCCGGTTTCCTTGGACCCTTTTTTTCTATCACGAGAAGAAAGTCTTATATTTAAAAAAGCAATTTTAAAGGTATTTGCTTTAGGCCTGGAAAACTTTAACAGTTTTCCAAAACTGCTTAGAAATATCAATCAATGAAGTATTCATTAGTACAAGTCCTGTTATCGCTTGTGAAATACACTGACAAATACGAAACAGTTTCATGTGACAGTGATGAATGGGCTTGGAGCACATTTTTGACCTCTTGATTTTTTTCATTTGGATGTTTTTGCCGAGGTGACGTTCACCAGTCACAGGAGCACAAATGTGCGGCGCCCCTGACTCTCTGTACCCACAACCCCCCTCTCTATACTGTCACCTTAACGGTATTTCAGCCAGCTGTTTCATCCGTGGCCAAAGTGAGCCGTCACCAGAGGAATGACATATCTGCCTGTCTTTGGGCTGGAAATTGGGGATGCCAGTTATTCCTCAGCTTCCTAGTCGTTCCGGACTTTATTTAAAGCGTGATCTAATATTGCACCTAGTTGTGATATGTTGTCAACTGGAAACACGCATGGAGACATCTCAGCCATGCTGGCTCTGTTCTTTGCCAGAGTGATTTTCTCGGAGTTCGTGAAGGGGACTCCAACCTTGGCCCTGATGTTTCTGGTTATGCACTACCATTGCTGTTGAGCGGACGTTTGAGGAAGTTCACCAATCCTCAGGGAAAGTAGTCTTATTCCAGGTGTGATTTTGAAGTGGGATGGGCCTGGTCTTGCCTTAGGAATGGTCTGAAATCACTCACTAATCCTTTACTTTGTAGGGACTCTATTGAAGCATGAGACACACATTACCCGTGTGTGGATGCGCACACACATATAAATACACCCCCTCCTTAGCCAACCTGAGTAAACATCCTTTGAAGAATAAAGTGTCTTTTAAAATAGATGTCCGCTGATATCAAAAGAAACACTCTGTGTGGGCGGGAGGTGACTATTCGCTGTTTAAACAGGTTGCTTGTTGTAGTCTGACACATAAAACGAGCCTCAGTGCCAAGCTTAATGACAAGAGTCACAATGCTCGGCACCTGCTCTGACAAAATCAGAGGGTAATAATTAGCATACAAATGACATCTACTTTGATTTTATTGTACTCTTGCGTGCTTGCTTTATTTGTACCTGTACATTTTCTTATATTTTCCGGTGAAACAGTGTGTGTGTGTGTGTGTGTGTGTGTGTTTGCAGTTGGGAATTTTTTATTTTTTTTTCCCCAGCTGCTACAGTGTCCCATTCCTGAAAGCATTTTGACTGATGGGGAATCTTTCCACCTTGGGGGCAGCTTTCAGCGCCATCTTAAATGAAAGGTCCCAGGTTCCTGCGCTGCTGGGGCCCAATCCCCTCCTCACAGGCAGGAGAGCAGCTGACATACCTGACGGGGCCGGCATGGGCACCTAATGAAAGCAGGAGGCAAGAACACACATAAACAAAAGTGGAACTCACACACACAATCGGCTAAATGTGGGTGGAAAGTTTATACCTAAACATTGACGTGTAGCTGGCTGAAATAACCTCGGGTCCTCTCTGGCTGTAGTCCATTCTACTCTTAGGCTGTGGAATTTGAATACCACAGAAAACACAAGCAAACACAAACACACACAGACATGCTGTGAGCTTGTTTGCTCAGGCCTGTTTCACTTGGTTAAGTTGTCCTCTAGGGTGACCTCTGCGCAGTAGACGCACTTGTCAGCGCTGTGCCGGCTCTGCTTTACTTCGCTCTGGCAGACTGGCCCAACCTGTTTTGCCTGCAAGTTTGTCGCTTTATACTTAATGCAACCCCCACTCGCTCTTCTTCAGTGTTATCTTTATATCCCTTATTCACAAATTTTTACAGATGCAGGTAAATTATGTTGTTTATACTGAGATTGTTGACCTTGCAGCATTCAAAAACCAAAGGTGACATGTTTTATGTGGGAGAGTGCACAAACTCTGTCCTTTGGCCTTTTCCTTTATATTGGACTGCTGGCACGCAGGGTTGAAAGCGCTGGCGTGGGGGGGTCACCTCAGGGAGAACCGTCAGCCCTGATTGGCACCAGCACATGTGGGCATTCACACCTCTGCCCCTGGCCCCGGCTTGGCCCTGTTTAGGTTGGCCTCAGCAGCCCTTGGGCAAGCTGCTTCAGCCCAGCCCAGCGGAAAAAGAAGTTGTCAGCTTTAGGGGCTTTGCGCTGGGGCAGCTGCCACTGGTCAGGCAGTTATATTTAAACTTGTAAGGCAAGTTGAGGCACTGTATGAGAAGCAGTTTTACACTTGCTACTTGCTGCTTAGTGGGCTGCTGGGTAGCCCAAAGCTCTTTATCCATACAGAAGCACTGGCAGCACCAGTGCGGAAGGTGGAAGTGAGGACTGGAGTTGGGCTGGGACTAGCCTGGCCCTGAACTGTGGTTATTATTTTTTATCCCCTCTGCAAAACCAACCACTGTTCCCCCTTTTCCATTGTTCTCATTATCAGGATTTGCATTAGCGCCGAGTGCCTCGATGGCTTTGGAGCTGTGGCTTCCCAAATCCTCGGGGACCACATGAGTGTATGTGGTTGTGTGTGCGAGTGCGTGGATGTTGTGGGAAGGTGCTGATGGAGAGGTTAGTCTCAGCAACCTTGATGTGTCCTGCTGAGCTGCAAAGTCAAGGGAGAGAGTGGGATGGGCGGGGAGTGCTGACGATTGTTCCGTGTGTGTGTGTGTGTGTGTGGAGGGGTCTTGTGACCCACAATCTGAGCCGTTGACCAATGAGCCTTTTGGATTAAAGTTTGGCATCGTTAACGCTGTATAAGATCTTCTTCTTTAGCCTTGTTTGACCGCAGTTCTCACATTTTAAATCCTATTCTAATCATACTTTAGCATTGATGGTCAGTGCCAAGTAATATTATAGCTTAATATGCCATTAAAACATATTTTTTTGTGAATCCTTTAATGACACATTCTAGTACTTTCAAAGTTATGTGACTTTTATGAGAGTCCTATAAAGTTACTTTAATGTTTACCTATATTTTTAGGTTTCAGGCGCAATTTTTCTACTTTTGGGTCTCTATGATGTCAGTAATTAGGATTATTTTTTTACCTTTATTTGTACAGGTAGTTCCACTGAGACTCAATGTGTCATTTACAAGCGACACCTACATCAGACAAACATATTAAAATTGCAACAATAAAATAGTCAACGCACAAATGTTTACACAGTCAAAAACAGGAACAAGTTCCCAGTGATGGTTTTGCAAGTTCATTTGTACATCTTTTAAAGTCTGC